GTGATCAGAAAATGGCCCCTAAGGTTTTAAAGTGGGCCGGGCTCCCTGACCCCGCCCCTGACCCCAACAGTCTCCGCCCAGCTTCTGTGACCCCCCCCCCTTGCTCCTCCTTCCCCCTCCCTCTGTGACCCCGCCTTCCCTGCCCCACACTGCTCCCATCTGTCCTCCCCCACCTTCAGCGTCTGGCAGGCCTGCACCACAGGGGTAACCTTGTGCCCCGCATGCACCCGGCGCAGTTTGCACAGTGGACACAGGAGGCGCTGGCAGGACTTGCAGTAGAAATGCAGCCGCTCCTGCTCGTGCTCCGGACAGGTCAGGACCTGCGTGAGGTGATCAGAGGGGAGGGTTACCACTAGGGGGCGCAGACGGTTAAGACTGCAGGAATGTAACATGAAGCCTGCTTGGGGGGGGGGCAGATATCAGCAGTGAGGGATGCACATAAAATCATCTGAATCACATGACTATAGGGTCAATGATTCCATGACCTTGACCCCGTCACCCTGACCTTGGGCCGGAAGTTGAGGGTGGGCTGCACGTGCTCGTGTTGGGCCCGCGGCGTCCCCCATGGGTGGTACAGCTTGAAGCACTCATTGCAGAAGTTGGCCCTGCAGTCGGCGCAGCCCTTGGTGGCCTCCAGGGTCTGGGGGGGCTTGCAGAACTGGCACATGACAGCCACGGTGCCCAGGCTGACAGTGTGCCTGTACCTGAAGCGGGCCACAGACGGGAGGGGGCGAGGGGTTGGCAAAAGAGGAAGGCCATGTGCCTCCCGTGCCTAAAAAATTACATTTAAAAGCTCAAAGGTGAAACCGGCTAAAGGCAGGCAAAGGTGCCCCCAGACCTCACCCAGAGCTAACACCCCCCACCCAAACTGGCACATGGGTGGATGCCCGCGCATGGGCAAGGCCCCGTACCTCTCCACAATGCGCTCCAGGGTCAGGTTACGCAGACAGTCGGCCAGCCCCCTCTCCCCGAGCTCTACCTCCCTCTGGCAGGGAGGGCAGGGGAACAGCATGTTGGGAGGGGGGCCCTCCTTCCTCCTCCTGCCGGGGTACGTCCCGAACCCTGATGTGTTTGGGAGACGGGAGCCAGCTGAATCAGAGATGGGAGTCGAGAGGTAAGCCTGCATGCAACACGATGACACGGTACTCCGGGAGAAAGTAAGAGACGAAAATAGAGACGTCGGCAGCTGGGGGAGGAACCAGGGCTCTGCAGCTGCTCACTGCAGCCTTTCGCTGCTGCGGGGTTCATAGAAAGTCCAGCGGTCACACACACACACACACACACACACACACACCTGCAGGAGCAGCTGTCACTTACACACGCACCCACAAATGGCAGGCTAACGTTACACCGGCACCCAAACAGCAGGCTATTTCTAGCGTCACACACACCCAAACAAGCGGCCTCTCGCATGACACGCACGCAGGCAGCCAGACGGGCTCCGTCTAACGTTACCCGCCAGCTGGAAGCGCTGATGCCCCACCCCGCGCCTTCGCTCTGAGCTAACGGGCGCACACACACCTGCTCGCAGCACCCGTTCGATGCGGTCGACCTTGGGCAGGGGGCGGCGGGCCTGGCGAGGAGAGCGGGTGTTGGGCGTGGAGGCGGGCGAGTTGGGCGAGGGGGGCAGGTCCGGAGCGGGGTAGCCGTTCTGCACCAGCACCTCGGAGGCACACAGCAGGCAGACGCTGTGCTGACAGGGCAGGATGATGGGCTGCTTCACCATCTCCTTACACACTGGGCACTGCAGCTCCCTCTCCATGCTCTTCATGTTGGACTGTGGGGGGGTTGGGGGGTGTCAGATCATGTGAAGGAGATGGAGGGATACAGGCCTGCCCACTCCCCACAAATGGGAGCAAAGTTATCAGGGGAACGAGAGAAGGAAACAGAAAGAGCCATGAAGGGAGGCGACAGGACGGACGGGACGCCAGGGAGGAGAGGAATGGAATGACTGAGATTAAAAGGTGACAGGGACCAGCAAAAGCCATCAGAGGTGTCGTTCAGCGTAACCCATACATTGGGACGGGAGCTCGGAAGTCAACAGAAAGATAAAAGTCCGACAGGACGGCCAGAGAGCAGTAAAGAGAGAGAAGAACGGAGTGGGAGTAAAAATCAATGGCACGCAGAGTACCAGCAAGAAGGGGCCTCGTATATATGGCTGGCTCTCCTCAAAGCATCGAGCCCGTCCTGTAGAGCATGGATAAGGGCTCCAGTGATGGATGCTCCGCACTTCTCGGGGGACATTCTTACATTTAATGTGACCGCCTTCAATGTCACCCAACAGTGTAGATTCAAATGGAGGTGGTCATCACTTTTAAGAGTGATGCTGTTCAGGCTCGTGTTGCTGTACACAGTCTTCTGTGTATCCTAGTGCTAAAAAGGGAAGTTCTGCTCGTTTTGAGAAAGACTGGCGTTGAGCTGCATTGGGACTGCATTGGGACAGCAGTGTTTCTGCAGGTTTCCCCGCTCTTCAGTCACGCGCAGCAGATCCTCCTTTTACTGCGAGCTACTCCCTTCGGGACGCTGACAGACAGCAGCCAAGCTCGGATACACACGGGCGTATGCTAACCACACGCAAAGTTAGTCTAGCCTGCCTGCTGGTATTTCGCCTAATATTTGTGTTTAAAAAAAGTCATTTTTATACGCATGATATGAAACGTAAATATTAGTAAACTGGCTCGTGTAAATTTTAAACTGAGAAAGATGAGTTTCAAAAATCAATCTTGTGGCATTTTTTTGATTTCCGCGGAGTCTTTGAGAAACAAACATCGGTATCGAGAGATAATACTGGAAATTTATCGGCGGTTTGCGTTGCGTTTGAGACGCCAGGCGCAGTACAGCGCATCCCCTTCACGCAAAGCTTGCGGGCTGCGTGCATCGCAGAGGGGTGACAATGGCACGGGGATCGGCGTCACGAGCCGCAATACCGGCCTCGGAACTCGGCTCGCATCGGACGCGCTGATCCAACGCATTCCTGTTAAGAACTGCACCCTGTTATTACTATCATATTATTAGGCTATTATATTAACCCCCCTCGATTGGTCCGCTGTTCACGGGAGGAGGGGGTGGGACATCGCATCTTTCTACAATCACGGTCGGGGGGCGGGGGGACGGAGCAGAGGGATACGGCAGGGTTGTTGCGTTGCCAGCGTCAGCGTAAAGGCCAAAGTGTTTACGCTGCTTTTTAGCCGCAGGGCCGCCGTTTTCCACCTTCCGGTGTATCGCACACTCTCGGGTCAGTACATTAACCCGCTCCCCCTTCCGGATCACCATATCCAGGTTAGTGCAGTGAATCGCCATTCAAGCTGACTGCCAGTAGTTACACCCCCCCCCCGCGCGCCCTTCCACCGCCAGGCCTCAGCGTGCTCGCATCCCGTTCCCATAGCAACAAGCATCTCCGCGCGACAACAAATTGTCCCAGCATTTATATTTGTCTGCGAGTGACAGTATTCTTTGTCTGGCGTCCCATTGAATTGTCGTGCCTTTACACTCTCCCCCTCCATTACATTATTTGAACGCTGCCACAGTCTACATAAAAAGGATGTTCTGCTTTCGGACTCCGTTTCATATATCAGCTATACCAGAGCCTCTACAACGCAATTCTTAAAGAACGTAATTTTCTGTCTATTTTTGTCAGTACAAATGAATAAAACAGTCCCAAGCATGACTCCTATACTAATAATTGTCGCTACAGGAATATGGAAAATTGCCCAAAATCTAAAAACAAAAAATAGCCGAATGCTAACAGAACTAAATCTGCCATAATACGGAGAAGGGAAGCACATGAGGCTGGTGCATCTCTCGTTCTATCCTCCCTTATCTTTCTCACCCTGCCTCCATCGAAGCAAACGGACGTATAAGCTAACAAGGCGGTGCTGAATTCACTAGGAACCAGTGCAGTGAAGTCCTATAGAAAAATAAATCCGAAAAATACTTCTAATTTTATATTACGGTCTATGGGCATTTTAATTTGAACGGTGGCAGGGAGTGTTAGCGAGGAAGAAGAGTCACCTGAAGAACTCATTAGTATATTCAAATAAAGATCGGTAAAATATAGGTCTATAGATGACTGCATTTCGACAGGTAGTTGCCTATGTAACATCTGTTGTCGGGTTATAACAACGCAATTCACAAATGTTACAGCATACAACCTGAACACAGAAAGACAATATACAGTTAACAATGCGCAAAATCAAACAGCTATAAAAATGGAAAATACTTACACTAATTCTAACCAGCGCATCCATTATGGAGGTAAACGTTTGCAAGTCCGCCTCTGCCATTCCTCGCAATAGCGCTGTCGTTGGTGGTGCGCTCTATGCTCTCCGTAGATGGCAGAAAAAGCCAGTCGGTGCAATAAACTGTTGAAATACAGCCGCAGAATGTGAGCGCTTCTGCCAATAAAACCTAACTTAAGGTGATCCTCGGCCTACATATAGCGCATTGCACGACACACATACAGGCGCAGAAAGATTGACAGTCTGCAATGTGAAAAACCACAAAAATCAGACGATTGCCACAAAGGCAAGCTGATTAATTTTTAATTGCACTCCGTCTTTCTCTTGAGAGCGAGTAGTCTGCAATATAAACGCACTGAATTTTCCCCTTCCGATAGGGGTATATGCTTAAGCAATATAGTGCTCAAAAAAGGATGAGGACTGGGAAATGAGCATGCGTAGCATTTCCTGCAGAAAAAATAAGGATTCAAACCAATGAGGGGTTCCATCTCGCTCACCCTCCCTCCCCCATTTCATTTTCTCTATTGGTCTATATTGCTTTTTTTTCTTTTGCCTTCAAACAGATAAGAATTGCGGCATAGAGAAAATTAAATATAGATATATATCCAAATGAAATTCTTGTATAAGAATGTATATTGGCTGAGCCATAAAGACCAATCGATATAATAGAATTCCGAACAGGTGTAGTGGAGTTGTTCTTTAGCCTCCACGCCGCTAGGTGTCGCCACTTCGACAGACGTGTCCTGAAGAGGTTACAGCTGGACCCGACGGTGATGTGTACCACCGGCACCAAAATCCGGCCTTCTTCTCACATAGGGCCGGCATAACAGCGCGGTGGATTGCACGAAAAATTAGAAAAGTTCCAAGTATAACTTTCACTGATTTTTTTCAAGATAATAAAGATAAAAGAAAGATGGGTGAGTGTCACTATTCGGTTGAAATAAGAGCGCGCATAGTAGTAACACTGGCGGAGGGGAGTAGTCGCAAAGCTTATAACTAGTCTGTCGATAGTGCTTAGTATTATGTGACTTATTTTTAAATCTTTTAATCTTAAAACCTTAGACCAAGTGCAGTTGTCATTTTTCATTACTGGGTTTGTGGTAATAACATTTATTATCCAGGAAAAAGGATAATTTCTCAGGTTATTTCATCTGTGCATGACGATAAGGTGTCAGTTTCTATGTTAAGTGGTTGACTTTTACGAAGCTGCTGATTATCATGGTTGGGGATAATGAAGGGTGCCTTGAGTTACTAACGTGGTGTTTTTTGCACCTCCTTTGTCGCCTCTAGAGTGCTGAAAGCGTTTCTAGCCGGATGCATTTTAGTGACGCACACTGACGTGGCTTAAAATTACACAGTAGTTTCGCATATATTGTACTAACATATTTACCTTGTTGCTTGTCAGCATTAATTTGCCCAGCTATAGCATATTAAATTAGTGTGACAGGAGGTGTAATGCCGAATGTTCATTGAGTTTAACACAGTGTTGCTACTTATCTATACTACAGTGTATAGTTTGTGTAATAATATCATAAGCCATGATCCCAGTACTGTGCCGTCTATGTTAACACTCTTTTCCCTCCACTTTCTTACTGTAGCCGTGAACACAGGAACCTCTCTGGTCCTCTCCAGCTTGTTGTCGGTGCTGGTATTTGCAGGCATGCAGATGTTCAGTAGACAGCTGGGGTCCTCAGAGTGGCTGACAATTCTGGGTGGCTTTCTGGGCTCAGTCCTTTTCATCTGCTCTCTCACTGTATCCTTCCTTGTAGACAAGGTGTTGACGTTTGCTAGTTTGCTAGCAGGGGGTGCTGATAAGGCAGAATTATTACAGTAAACTAGCATGGCACAGGAACCATTTATCAGAATTAGAGCATTTTTGACTACTTATAAGCATCTCAGTGGCAGAATATTATCTCCGTGCAAGTAAATATGTGTCTGAGGTCACAGACGTGTGATAAAAACCAATTGTAGGATATCTGAACCACAGAGGAACATAAATTCCAATTTAGGTTGTTCCTCTGTTGTACACCATTTTGCTTGGACAGACCAGGCATTTTTTGGTGCGTTCCTCCTGTTGTTCTTCCCTTAATCCCTGTGTAGGCCTTCAACAATTTGGAGAACCTCGTCTTCGGGAAGGGATTCCAGGCCAAGATTTTTCCAGAAAGTGAGTGAGCCCTGTTTTTACTGCAACTTGGCCTAATTGCACAGCATCCTCCAGCTGTACCTTTTGGGTCAGATGTAGAAGGACAGATAACTAGTCTGTCGATGATGGTTATGGGCAGTCCTGGGGTTGTTAGAGACCATGGAGATGCCTTGGCTGTGCAGGTTTTGAAGGAAGCTGATGTTTAATGGTGTGTGAGCATCCATAAGCTTTGATATAGCTGGCTTATCAACTTCATGTCAATGCTAGTAACTACACTTGTGTGTTTGAAAGCATATGCTTGTTCTGTAACCTCAGTGTGACCTCTCATTTTTAGTTTTGCTGTGCCTGTGTATTGCTCTCTTTGCTTCTGGGCTGGTGCACCGTGTCTGTGTCACTACCTGGTGAGTATGCAGCACAGGAGAAAAACCCTTAAATGTAACCATAACAATGCATTTTAGACCTGAAACACCTGTCCAATTGAATAAAAACTAAAGTGTTGCTGAAATATGATTTGCATTTTAACTTCTGCCTCCCTCTTTCTTCCATCCTCCCTCCCTCTTCCTCGTATTTCAAGCTTGATATTCTCTCTCCTTGCTCTGTACTACATAAACAAGGTCTCAGCAGCTCTCTACCAAGCTGCTGTTCCAGTAGCAGCTCCAGCCAAAACAGCCAGCAAGGGGAAGAGGAAGAACTGATCAACACTGCCAGCCAACTAATAGCAAACTGTGCAGTTGCCCCACAGTTTTTTCATTCTTTTTGTTAGCCATTGAAGTGAAATAAATTTTATCCCTTTTCCTGCAGTCATTCCTTTTTTGGAATGTCACTATGGTCCTTGATATTCCCTCGTGTCATTTCTCATTGTAGTGGTTCATCCAGACATTAAAATAATTTTGGAATAACAGGCTTGTAAAATTATTTTGGAGAGGGCTATTGCTGTGGTTTGGGTGCAAAAACCTAAAGTGTGGTATTGTTAAGACTGATCAAAAAAAGATGTTGAATTGAGAATAGGCCTCCATCACAGGTTAAAAGAAGCCCACAAGGTCTGGGCAATAGTATGCCTCATTTATGACATCTGGTAGACTGTAACATCCAGCTGTATGTGAATGTTCTGTCCTTTCCCTTTGCCCTGGTTTCTGTTATTTCAAGAGCTTTTTAATCTATGATGTTAATGATTCAAAGCTTGAGTGGAGACTCAGGCTAATTTTTAAGATGCATAGGAATTAGTCGCGGCCCGCAAATAAGTCGGCTGCTTTCTTTTCTGTAAAGTGATTGCATTGCACAAAATCTGAGGTTTTTTTTTAAATTTTCTCCTGAAACTAAAATCCAGCCATGCAAAGTCAGCTGTAGCTACAATACTTGTGACTGGAGTGTAGTTGTTCTAGTCAGATTGAAATTGAATGAACACTTTAAGTTGATTTGTTTTTCTAACCAGTGATTCACCAATAACACATGGGTTGTAACTATTCCATGTTTTCTTTGGAAGAAGTGATGTCATCTCATTGAGACAAGTTGCCTTAATTAGCCCAATATAAATGAAAGCATGTATAAGGAGGAAATTAGCTGACTTCTTACAATATGGACAGAGTGTTCTACATTTTTCTGTAATACTGGCCACTTCCTCTGCAGGAAAGTTGGTCCCAGCTTCTCTGTGACCCCCTTTCAGGTGCTGTGATCATCAGACAGACTTGTCTGGCTGGTCCTCTTATCATTCTGCTGCCTTCCTCTGAAAGCGTGAAACCACGGTGATGATATTGAATAGCAACAACATATTTGCCATTTTTTTATGCCAGCTCCAGAAATAGAGCTTTAGGTACTAACATAAAATAAAAAGAGAAACTGCAGTCAAAAAAACACTAATTATCACATAAAAACATCTCTTACTGCTACATTCATTAACATTGACTGGTTACAACACATTCAATATGAAAAACAGAAGTAGATACAAATGTCAATGGCCAGATTCAAGAGACTTTGTGAAACAAATTAACTTGAAGGAAAACAATACTACACTACAATGAAAATTGCCGAATGAAATGTTGTACTGATCTTTTATTAATAGCAAATATTAATCAGTGAGTATGGACACACCGCAAGGGCATTGATGTAGGTATGGAAGGTGAGGTTGTGTCCCTACCAATAATGTGGGAATGCCATGTGTGTTTAGGGGGCATGGGGAGGGGGGATGATTTGGAGCTGATTTGGTCCCTATACCAATGTTGAAACCAAACCTATGCCCATGACTCACCAACTCATTTTTTGATGAGTCTTGACCCTTGGAAGCAGTATTTGTATGTTAAAATACGTATAAGGTGTCCCAATAGCACCAGTGACCAAAATCTCAGTAACACATGTATTTAAAAAATAAATAAAACATATTTTTGAATGTAGAACAATGTTAATGATGTATGTAGTAAAACCAAACTCTTTTATGCAATTCCACAAGTTATACCTTTTAAAAGAATTGTTTTATATTACAAAAGGTTTTATATTACAAATGTTGAAATTTGGCTGTGTTTTACAGGTATAGAGCAACTTTGAAACATGATAGAAATACAAAAATTAAGCAAATCGTGTAGGAATCATACATTATCTGTGTGAGTAGGAACTGTGCCTAATATTATAGGCATGTTCTTAAGCCCTGAAGCCTCTGTGACATGCTTTTCTACTCTAAATGGAGAATTTATAATGAACTAGAACAGTATATAAGAAGAAAACTAACCAAATGACTTAAAGGAATGACTATATTTGATTGTAATTTGATTCATTTTCTATCGGTTCAACGTTCTTTAATAAAAAGTGCTTAATCATATACAGCCTAGTATTACATTTTAGAGGCCTATAATTAAGAAAACCATCATTTTTATTCACTCAGCCTGCATTATTTTGTTTGGTTTGTCCCCTCACAGGCACATTTTTTATTTAATAAATCCACAGGCCTGGGTATTATTCCTGCAGTAAAAGCAAAAATATAAATTAATGAATTAAACATGCGAGAGACCGCTGCTTGTGCACCACGATCACCCAGCCCTCTCACACACCCATCTTCCTCTGACACTCCCTCTTAGTGATGTACTTGGGCGTTTCCTGTTGCCTGTTATAAATTCACAGTACAATTCACTACTTAGGGTCCATTTTTTACTTTCTTAGGCTAATCCATCTGTTGGGTAAGTTTTAAATCCATACGGTCATATTCATCACTGGATGTAACCCACCTTAACAATTCAATAAATATCTAAGACGTTTGTATTTACAGTGTAAAGTTTGCTGTAGTTTGAATATATAACAAAGTAGTTGTGCTTAATTTGTCAAATGCATTGTGTGTACTGAAGAAATCTAGATACATTAACTTGTTTTACTTTTAAAAATGTATCCATGGGGAATTTTGTTACATTCTGTAATATATAATATAATTTGTGTGTTTTTTCCACTTTTTGTTTAAATTAGTCTTGTTGATTTGAAACAGAAGTCTAGACATTTCAGTCTTTTGTCATCATTTGTCAGTGGTTTTATCTTTTAAGTTATAAAACCTTAAATACAGCACCGGGACATTTACCGATTAAAAAAATATTTGCTAGCAAAAATTTTGCGCACGAGCTGAATTAGTGATTTCCATTAATTATAACACCACTCGCATACCTGAACACAGGAGCAGAACAGCAGACGCATACATGTTCCAGAACAATAAGGATAAATCTGATCTTTCGTGAGGCTCTGTCAGTGTGTATTTCTAACTGTTGGTTTGTAGGCATAAGCTTTTTAAAGTTACTGAACCTGCTATAATGCAGTTTATCAGCAGTACGGTTCCATCCTCAGCCCTGCCCTGTTTCACACTCCAGCCCCCACTGCATGAACTCCGACCCAGTCATCAGATAGACGGCGGCATGAAAAAGACTTTAAAGGCAGATGACTCAAAAGAAAAGGAATGTGATTAGGAAAGAAGTTGTTGCAGGTGGAATCCTCTGAATTTGCAGAGAGCCAAAAATAAAGCAGATTTCTACGTCTAGACAGATCTGTCCTTAATCACAGGCTGGCTGACAGCTGATTGTCTGGCTTGGTGTTCATTGTACTGCACTAAACCCTTAGTAAACCGCAAGAGTGTTACCAAGCCGCAAGTAGCCAGCATTAAACATGCATGTTTGCTACTGATTATGAATTTGTGGATGGGAATAAATTTGCTGTAATTTACTCTGGGGAAGACTGGCTGAGTCCTGCTGCAGTGTATCTCCTATGGGAAGCCTGTGCACTAAACTGCTACAGTGTATCTCCTAAGGGAAGGCTGTGCACTATACTGCTGACTCCATGGCTTGATGTGACCCCACCATGACTCCCTCTTTCTGTTAGGGTGCTTCTCAGCCTGTAGCAATGCCAAGTGACCTGGAGAGAGCCATGGAGATGCTGGTCACGGTCTTCTACCGTTACTCCAAGAAAACAGGCAACAGCAACACTCTTTCACGCTCTGAGTTCAAGCAGCTGATGGAGACTGAGCTATCTACATTCCTCAAGGTAGGACATTCATCCCTGGCTACTTCATCCTCTCTCTCTGTCTCTCTCAGCTCCCCAAGTTCACAACCCCCCCTTCTTTGTCCACCACCCCTCCCCCCAGGCACAGAGGGACCCCAATGTCGTGGATCGCATTAGGAATGACTTGGATGCCAACGGGGATGGAGAGCTGAACTTTGAGGAGTTTGTGTCCCTGGTGGTGGGCCTATCGGTGGCATGTGAGCAGATCTACCAGCTGCATGAGAAGCAAGAGCAGTGCAGGAAGTGAGCGCATCGTGGTTGGGAGGTTTGGTGCCAATAGTCATTCTGTAAAAAGTCTAATAAACACTGACTTTCAAACACATCTGTGGGTCTGAACATGAGTATAGCCTGTCCATTTGTGAAAGGGCTGGGAAACAAGACTGATAAAGAGGAAAGTACACATTGAAATGTGCGCAAACAGACAAGGCCACCTGTGCAGCCGAGTGGGTTAGGGCTCCGAGCCTATGTCTGGAAGGTTGTGGGTTCGAGTAAAGGGGTCAGAGAGTACTTATAGCTTTTAAGCAAGGCCTCTAACCATAGCTGACTCTGTTCTCTGACTCAAAACGTTCCGCACTTATACATTGGTTTGGTCATAACAATCTGCAAAATGAATAATGTACTATGAGGTGCTAAAATAACACCACTGGATATTGCTTAGCCTGTGGTGTCATCGAGGAATAAAGTACAACACAAATTTAATCCCATTTAATCCTATTTTCATACATATATTATAAATAAAGTGTGGAAAATGGAGGCAGCTGTTTTGGTATTAAATATCAAGCTCCAGGTATCAGTAAGACCATTGTTAGTGGAGAAGAAAATCATATGGTGTCATTACAATCAGCTCTGTACCCATGATTTCGGGACACATCAAACCACCACCTTGGTGGTTCAGCAGTTTCCCATGTATTATGTGCATCATCCTGGGGAGACCGGGGCCCTGCCCTGTAACCAGGCCTGGGGGGTCAGGCCCAGTGGTCGGCCATAGCCCAAGAGAGTTACATTGATGCTACCTCTTGTGGGCCCACCGCCTGCAGGGGGAGCCGTGGGGTAGGGTGCAACATAGATTGGGTGACAGTCGAAGGCAGGGGCTACCAAAACTGGCTCTTGGTACATGGAGTGTAATCTCTCTGGTGGGAAATGAGCCTGAACTGGTGCGCGACGTAAAGAGATACCGACTAAATATAGTCGGGCTCACCTCGAGGCAAGGCTCGGACTCGGGAACCAGACTCCTAGAGATGGGCTGGACTCTATTCCATTCTGTAGTTGCCCATGGTGAGAGGCACCAGGCAGATGTGGGTCTACTTATAGCCCTACTGTTTGGTGCCGATTTGGTGCCAGAGGGTCCCCTCCCTTCGACTTTACACCAAAAACCAGCAAATAGTATCCAGCCTTCTTGGAGATGCTCACATGAGCAATGACACAGGGAGAACATGCATTTTATTAGTCCTTCAATAGACTGAGATTTGTCTCTCAATCTCTCTTCATCTCTTCAACTCTAGCATATCCTGTTTGCCATCAAACCAATGAGGCATTTCCTGAGCAGTGGTGCCAGTTCAGTTACACGCCATTTTGCCTTCATTTTCTATGTCATAAATTTCAGAAGTAGACCAGCAGATGTCAGTGTGGTCTTTTTTAATAGACCAAACTATATTATCCCATAGACGTAAATTACAGTCACATTAGTACACATGATGAATTTTGAAATGTTTTAAAATCGACACAAGCATCAATGACTGGGAAAGCCAACATAATTTAGAACACATAATTCTAGATAATTATTATTGTGACATGCAAAAGTATGGGCACCCCTGGTCAAAATTTCTGTTACTGTAAATACTTATGTGAGTAGACAATGACATGATATCCAAAAGGCATAATGTTAAAAATGATGTTTTCAGGCAAGAGTATTGTATTATATTTGTTTTGAACAATTTTAAAGTGAAAAAGGAAAGGGGCAGCAGGCAAAAGATTGGGCACTTTTACCAAAGTCTCAGACCATAATTAGCTCGTCAGGGCTATGGCTTGTTCGCAGTCATTTTCAGGAAGGGCCAGGTGATGCAAATTTCAAAGTTTTATAAATACTGTCTTTGTCCCAATCACCATGCTAAAGGCTAAGCGTAATGTGATCCTACATGCCGTGGTGACATAAGTTGATGTAATATGCAAAGTGCCCAGGTGTGCAGGGATTTCTTGAAACCAATGGAACACACTTGATATCTGAAGAGGTAAACAAGAAACATGTTACAACCATGCTGTCCTTTGTGTTGGTTATGTTTGGGGTAGTCCTTCCCTGTACCCTAGGCTGCGTAAACATTCCTTATATAACTTTACGCATTTGCATTCTAACTTCTTTGGAGGCATGCTGGGCTTGATAAGCCAGCAGACTTCCTCGTGTTCGATGTCAACGGTAGTAGTCACTGATGCTTGTGGTCTATATACTGAGGCAAAGACTGCTTCAAGTGTGGATAAAGTGCACATCAAGTACGCTGCACTTTGCTTATTTGAGGAACAGGGCACCCTTGAATACTTGTGCTAAGGGCATGAATGTGCATGCCAAATGTGGTAGTGTGCACCAAGTGAAGCTGACTACTAAAACCCTGTCCCAACGATCAGCAGCTGGCTAGCAATCTGAAAATTAAAATAATTAATGCTCACAAACTCTCAGGTAGCTGTTTCCTCAGTTTGTAATGTAATGTAATTAGGAAATGGCATTTAATGGGAATGGCAGTGGTCCAGTTGAGGTCTAGATGTCCAAAACGTTGAGAACTGCCTGTAGGATTGCTAAAAAAGGATGTAAAAACCCCTATTTCACTGCAAAAGACCTATATTCTTTATATTTGGGGCCGACCAAGAACAACATCCGGGGATTTTTACCGTCATTTGTACTTCTGTTCTTAGTATTGGTCTTCGGCAATGGAAGATGACGTAAAACAGGTACACGAGAACACGTACGTTTCCTACGTACGGTCAGGTACGCATATCGCGAAACACCCCTGGCAGGTCGAGCGAAGGCCCAGCATGAGGCGTTCTGTCACAGGACATTTTTTAATGAAGACTAATGTTTTTAACCCTTAAGCTCTGAGTCTGAGTTGTGACAAGCAAATTCTGGAAACTAACATCACTCCAACTGTAAAAAAAAAACGGAAAATGAAAAGAGGATGGCTTTTACAACAGGATAATAATCCTAAACACACCTCAAGCATCACAAGCTGAAGGTTTTGGCCTGGACCGTAGCAGAATCCCTTAACATAAATATTAACAAATTTTTGATTAACACTTTGTTTTGATTCCAATTGCTGGCGTTTAAGCTGAAATATATACAGAAATATAAAATAACAAAGTACAAATTCTTTGTTACTGTATTTAAGTCATTTTTGGGGGGATTTGTACCTGAGTATTTTAAGGTGTTGCCACTTTTTACTGAGATACATTCTGCACGATCATTTCCTGGTTTTAAAATATGAGTAAAATATGAATTTCTTTAATGATGAATGAGCAATATATTTTTTACATTGCACATACAGTACTGTATATACAAATATATGCCGCTTTTCTTTACTAAAGTGCTGGTTTCAGCCAAAAGCCGCAAGCTTCCCGGTAACTGCAGTATACCGGACATAAACTGTACCATGGCTGATGCATAGGATGATATGCGCGGGGTGTGAGCTGCCAGGGCCTCCCAGCCCCCAGGCAAGGTCTCCGATGCCTCTGCTGTTAAACACGGACTTGCAGATGCTCCTGGCGTGGCTCAGCATGCAGTTTTATTCATCTGCAGCGAACCGCAGCGCTGCTGCTATATGCAAATTACTGACTGGAATGTTTTGAGAACTGATCTGAGAATTGCATTTTATTGGCAGTAAATTCCGATTCAATTCTGATTTATTTTAACTAAAGTTTCCTGTAAATCAGGTAACATAAGAGGGACAGTATAGCAAACCTTGCACACATGTTGCTTATGCATTGTATTCATCTTTATTGTATTCATCCATATTGTATTCATCCTTCAATAGAGTGAGCTGAGATTTTTCTTGTTCTCTACTGATCTCTCTGTCTCCAGCAGATACTGTGGACCATCAAAGCACTGAGGCTAAACACTCTCATCAGTGTCTTTCTGTCCACATTGCTGCCCAGCTGTGTCTCCAGTGTGAGAAGCTCAGCTAATTCTGAGCGAGGGGGCCGGAGGCAACCAGGATGGCTGCTTGGAGCTCGGCCTTCCTCGTTCCTCTCCACTTGGTCACAGGGCTGCTGCTCTGGATGTTAGTTGACTTGGCAAGCCCTCTGGAAGGAGCTACTGGTGCATCACCACCCACAAGACCCATTGAAGTGAGCAGGTCATCAAACCACCGATGACCTACAGCTGTCCCCCCACTGCATACCAATTAATATACTACTGCACTTTATCAAAATGACATACTGTACTGTTGTCTATTAGCATATCTTCACCTCCATATTACACTTCTTATTCACTATTCAATTATTATATACTTACTCTTCTATTGCAATATCTTGTCTTATATTGCACTCCTGTTAGTTTGGTGTGTCCGTGTCCGTGTCCGTACCTCTTATGCACGATCCCATGAGGCCCCTGGGCACCTGCCTTTTGGAGGCCTTTCACCGTACTGCTGCAGGGCCTGGGGCCCCTGGTGGTTAGCCTTCGTCATATGTGGAAAGGGCCCTGGGGGCCCCGGTGGTTAGCTTGCGCTCTATATGCCTGGGGCCCTCATGATTGACCTGCACTATATATGTCAGAGGGCCCTAGGGCCCCGGTGGTCAGCTCTAGCTGTATGTGGACAGGGCCCTAGGGCCCCGGTGGTCAGCTCTAGCTGTATGTGTGTATGTGGTAGTTAGCTTGCACTCTATATGCCAGGGGCCCTCATGATTGACTTGCACTGTGTATGTCAGAAGGCCCTGGTGGTGAACTGTATATGAAGGTCATAGTGTTTAGCTAGTACTAAAAATCTTGCAACTGGCAGACAGTAGTGATCGGGGGCCCCCCTAGCCTGAGGTCCAGGGCTCTGGCCCAACTGGCCCCACTGGCTTGATCCATATTCCAGCTGTGGTCCCCTCCCATGCAACTGTGGTACTAGAACTTTGCCATGTTCCTTGAAACACGTAACGATAAAGCTTGAAACTTGAGAGAAGCTAGAAAAGAGTCTGTTTGTAAGGTTTGATGCAGCAGCTCCCCATCTAGAGATGGGCGGGGTCACAGAGGTCACCGTGTTCCTGTACTCGTTCATGAGAATCTTCTTCAGCTCATCACGTCTGAGTGTCTCCTTCCTGTCCTTGCCTTCAGTGTCCTCATGGAAGACCTCGGTGTTG